CTATGTGAATATGATTTTTTTAAATTTTAGATGCTGGCCGTTCGTCTTTTTAGTGAAGGTTTTTTTGTGATGTATGCCGCTGTCTTTTCTTCGTTCTCTATTTGTGTCAATAAAAGAAAAGAAGAGACTTTTCACCGAAAGAGCATAAAACGTGTACTCATCCAAGGTTTCATTTGAGTAGATGGCTTTCATGAAGAGAATGGGTAAAAAGAGCGTCTCTGCTATTTTTAACAGTGCGTTAAAATGAATTGAAAAACAAGAGTTAAAATCAACATAATCGAATAGCATGCTTTTTTTTAAAACATGCCTATAGATTTAACTATACATACAAAGCAACCAAGACACTACTAGAATGAAATTACTTATTTCTTCATAAATTAAATTTTTTACTCATATTAAATCAAACTTATGTAAACACACTCATAATACTATTAATTTGTCCGCTTGGGTATTGTCTTCAAAACTGGAGATCTTCTATAGCGATCTTTAATATAATTCGATGTAAAAAATATTTTTCAAATTTTCATTATATGAGACTATAGATTGAAGTTTGAACTACATATAGATTATGGAATGAATATATTGTAAAATTGAGGGCTACCGCTTTGAATATTCGTTCAGAATATATGTTCTTCTGAGGAATAATAGAGCACGTAACATTTTAAGTGAAACCAATGAATTCTTATATAATCTTTCACAATAGTGTCATTAGCATTCAGCTGATAATAAATAATGTTTTTGATATTAAAAGCAATCTCATAAGTTATCTTTATTTATTTCATAAATCTCAGGAGGCGACTTGATTACTCCTGTTTCTCTTTCTCTTATATAACCAAATGAATTATTTATATATTGAATACCATGACCAATATCCAATTCCATTTTGACTGTGAGCTAATAAATACAAAAATAAAAAACAAGATAAATTTCTTTTGAAGCATAGAATGTTTATTCAGTAGTACTAACCAAATATGTGTACTTGTGGTTTAATTAATTTCAATTGCTCATTTAATAATTCAGTTCCAGCCACTAATGAAAAATTCGCTGTCATTGTTCCATTCTTCTATGCGTGGTGTACCTTTTCGACTGTCAAGCCATTTTTGTCGACGAAGAGACATTTCATCGATATATGCTTTCATTAATTTTCTATATTAAGATAAAAGTCGAGTAAATTTAGTAATAATGCTAATCACACATACTTGCTTGTTAAAACATGTGAAAATGTAATGATTTTCGAATTATTTCTATTTTCTTTAAAACTAGATGTTGTGGTACTTCCTGTTTACTTATGAAAAGAAAAATAGAATTTAAAATATACATCTTAGTTTTTCTTACATTAGTCCATTAACATGAATAATAGTCATTCCAGAGTTATAAATCACTTGTGACGTTAAGAGCTGTATTGCATAAATATTTTATTCGGACAGATAAACTTAAGAGTAGTAACATCCGATTTGGTATGTACGCCAAAATGTTTTCGCAAGTTTTCAGTATCTAGAGAAAATCAAATAAATTTATATGAGTAAATAATGATCATAATGCATACTGGAATTTTTCTATAGAATTATCAATATGCAATTCTTCATCTTCTCTACCGGATCGTGTCCATAATTCATGATTACCCGGACAATAATAAACATCTCTAAAATTGAGGGATGTCATAATATCCACAACTTGGGTATCGAGATGAATACCCAGATCGGATACCCAGTTGCATGGATATCTATGCAGTAAACAAATCTGTATCTATCGATAAATATTGGAATAAAGCTGACTACATGAATACAATAAATTTAAACATAGCATCACGTTTCCTTACTTATAATTATAAAGATACGTATTCCTACAATAGGGTATCCATTTTAGATATCCACTTGCATGGATATCGTGACTGGTATGTCGACGATACCCAGTGTTAGGATATTATGACATCTCTGTTTTGAACCAAAGTTGGTGGTTCTCATCATTCGAAAACGCTCTTATTGAAGAGACACGAAGTAAAGAAACAAAATTCCACAATAAACTAGCATAATATATATGTTGATTTACATTATATATACACAGAGACTGAACACCAACTAGGATGAATCATGTTGAAAGAATAGGGATGTGCCACTACAGTTGAACTGAATATCCAAGTCACACAGCCGCGACTGGAAATGGTGCACCCGAGCTCCGAGAACAAAAACAACAGAACTAGAAACACGCATCCGAAAAATTTTTCTTTAAATTTTTTATTTTTTCTTCATGGTTTATGAAACTCATCGAAGCAATACATGTGGTTATTATAAAAGATTAACAATACTTAAGTCACTTTTTCTGAAGATTTAATCACTTAAGTAACTATTCAAATCAGTCTGAAAATATCCTGATATTTTTTTTAATGTGTGCCCGTTCTAACTTCTTGATTTTGAGACATAGGCTGCTGCGACTCCTGCACTCCGATATATATTCTCTAATCAAAACCTAACAGCAAACACTTTTTTGAAAGTCCTTTTTTCTCTATGCAATATAAAAAGTACTTGCAAATTGAATATCACTCAGAGTGCTACAATCAAGAGGGGGAAAAGTGAGACTTTGAGCTTCAAATTTCTTTTAAGTACGAAGGGAGTAAAAAGGAAGTACAGAAGTCGCGCTTTTTCCCCTTGGCTGCAACACTAAAGCAAAACAATTAAACTATTCCATTGTAATTACTTTCAAAAGTCTTTGAAATTTATTATAGTAGTTGAAAAAATCGCAGACAGCAGAAAAAGTAAATTTTCATCTGTTAGAGAGCACTCTCACAAAATATATTTCTTGTCTTTTCTCATCATCCTATGTGTGCGTGTGCGTTTGTTTTCATCGTAATGCTATCTACTTCTGTACATGGCATCGCCGAAAAGATTTCTCTCTCTCTCTCTCTCATTTGTTCTCTTCTCTTCTCTTGTATTTTCTGATTTGTTCTTTCTGTCACTCTCTAGTATGTTGAACGAAAAATAAATAGTGAAAATGAAATAATAATAAAAAAAACTACTGGTTGGTTAAAGAGAAATAAATTTTCTTTTTTTTACATTTGACTCACTTTACAGCAAGGATCTTTGTATCATCATCTTTCGTTTTTTCTTGTAAAATATAAGAGTGAATCATCACTACGATTGGATGCTTCGAATACCAATTGAATTTTAAGAATAAATGTTCCATCAAAATGATATTTAAAAAAACGTTTCAAATAATTATTTCATCTATAATTAAAACCTTATAATATATCAAAAGCACATTTTATTATTCACACTAATTTCTTGAGTACTGGTTTACATTCAACCAATCAGACATATTGTTTATTTTATTTATTGTCTTTTTCTAAATGAAAAAAAAATCACTTTGCTAGAGCGTTGGTCTCAAAAGATGATTTCACTTTAATTTTTAGATTTGACTACCGATCAAACAATGACATTGTCAAAGAAAGTTGAAAAACCGGAAGGTGCATATATTAAGAAAGGCCGGTATGTAAAATCGCCGTATTGTCATGTTTCACTTTTTATAACCGTTTCGTGTCTCTATTAGTCTTTATGTAAAAGCAGTATTTACTGGTTTCCGACGTGGTAAACGTAATCAACACGAAAATACTGCTTTACTCAAACTTGATGGTGTCAATAATCGACGAGAAACTAATTTTTACTTAGGTAAACGTTGTGCTTATGTATACAAGGCTAAAAAGTAAGTGTGCATTGTTTTAAAATGAAACATTTTACATCGATCTTTTCTTTCTGTCTTTTTAAGCAAGACTTTAGTACCTGGCCAAAAACGTTTAAATCGTGTTCGTATTCTTTGGGGTAAAGTTACCCGTGCACATGGTAAAAGTGGTGGTGTACGAGCTAAATTCCGTCGTAATCTACCACCAAAAGCTATCGGACGACGAATTCGAATTGTATGTATTAAACTTGTTTATTTATTTGTTATTAATTCTAGCTTGTATCATTTTAGATGCTTTATCCTTCGCGAATCTAAATATCAAAGCGATTACCGATCGGAATGGTTAACATTCATCGACTCGACAAATTTGTTATTGTTTTCATCATCAAAATTTGTTTTGAGTCGAAAAGAATAAAAAAGATAAAACAAAAATAAAAAAATCTATATATTTAGTTTTTTTCTGTTTGTTGATCATCGAAAAATGAAATTATTCACAGCGAAAATATTCGTATATATCTTGATTTTTGAAATGCTCATTGAAATATTAGTTCTTTCATTATACTCAACGAATTGACAGTAAATTAAATCTTGCTAATAGAACTCTCTTTTATGAATAATATTTGAGAAATTACGAAACTAAAATGAATGTTGAATCGAAAATTTTCGAATATCATTGCTAAGTTGTCATTAGCAGTTTTATTGCATGCAAAGTATTCTATATAATCGTTTATTAAGCGAACAGTGATTTCGTACTAATTTCTATTTCTTATATATCTGACAATTTTTATTAACAACAATAAGAAAAAAATAAATCAATTACATAATATATTCAACAACTATCTGTAAATTTTCGATGACAAATCGATACACCATGTTCATCATATTCTCGTTTAGTCACACAATAATTTGCATAATCAGATGAATTTGTTAAATTCACTCCGGAATCTAATGCATGTGTTATTGGACTAAAGAAAACAAAAAGTCGATTGTTGTTGTAGATCGATAAATAGGAAATATTTATTTTTTTACTTCTCTGGCAGTGTTATTCGAAGTGGATAATCATCATTAATCATAGAACGTAATTCATTTTCTCTGAAAGAAAATAATATATTGAGCTTTAATAAATCAATAGGCAAATATTTAACTTACAAACGTTCTTTAAAATTTGGAAATAAGCAATTGCCACCAGTTAATAAAATATTATTGTACATACTTGGTCGAATATCTAAGTTTAAGAGTATTTCTTATTATTAGATGCATGAGTAATCACGTCGGTAATGTGAGATTTTATATTTCCGAGCATTGTTGATTTTGTTTTTACAGTACTAGCAACTCATCTGTTTTTTGTATCTATTTACAATAATCCTGCAATATGTTACTGACTGACCGAAAATGACTCTAACTAAGTATACTTATTCATTAACATACGTTCAGGTAATTCTTCAACAGAATTATAAATAGATTCAGCGATTCCAGCTTGATCAATACCAATCGTTGATGGTCGAAAAAGTATTTCGGGAATAGTAAAACGTTCAACGTTCATTCGCACAATCTAAGAAGAAGAAATTTCCGTTCAGTTCTCTCAATGAAATATTTAATGCAATTACCTGTTGTTGCTTTGTTGAACTCTTTTTTGAACCATCTGCATTGTAAATATTAGATGTTGAAACTGATGGAGTCTGAAAATAACCTTGTTTGATTTCATTATAATCAGGTAAGATATAGTCAATAGCATGTGGATTTTCACCTAATGGTAAGCTGAAATCAAATGAAATTAATTTCGTATTGTGACTATAACAGATAGTAGTCAGACATTCAAAGAAAATATTCGACACTGTTCAGAACTGCTGGAATAGTGTTCGAAGGTAAATCTGTTGTTTCGAGCTCCGATTCATGATTTAATAAATTTCTCACTGTAAATTTGGGCTATTCATAGCAAATCATTTATTTTTAAAAATAATATCTTATATCAATACCTCGGTTCATAATGTAAATTCTGAAACCAGCAGACTGCGTAAAAATCTATTTTCTCTTGAGGAAAGATCAGTGTCATTCACTGAAAGAATCTATTAATAAATATCATACCGTGCTTTTCTCATGTCTTCTTGAAAATCCAATGAAACGAAGCATACATTTTCTTTCAATTCATTAATAATATATGTTTCATTCATGACTAATAGTTGCCTAAAGTTGAAAATACAATATCACTTATATCAAAGACCTATTTATTCAACCATATTCTTACCGATAGGAAATAACACTTTTTAGTTGATTTGTTAATAATTTCCCACCAACATCAATTCTTCAATGTAGAAAATGTCATCATCGAAATATTTCGTATATGAATTTCTATTTACCTTGTCATACCCTCAAGTAATTTTCTGCCTTGATGAAATGGAACAATGTGTGTAAATGAAAAACCAGAATCAACAACAAGCACATAATTAGATTTTGTATCGTTTTCATACTGATATGCACTTAATGTAGCAGCTGAAAATATAGATAATTTGAATGATTGCTATTCTTTTATATCTTTATCATAGAAATAATCTTACGATCATATCGTGCAAATGATGCAACTTCATATTCTTCGAAAAATATTTGATCCATTGTTTCTCGAATAAAGTTTAAATTCATATATGGCTCTGTCATTAATAAACCTGTTGATTTGAATGGTATCTAAAAAAGATTATGTTTTGTTTAATAAAACAAACAACTAGCTTTTACTTTGCCAAATAGATGATCCCACACTTGTTTTTGAATATTCCAATCGACTAAATAGCCCTTCAAATAAAAACAAAAATTAAAGTACATGTGCTAATTGCTGAATGCATTGATTGCGTTTACTTTTTGCAATGGTAATTGATAATAGAGACTTGTTTTATTTGGACATTCATTGTCAATTTGATCAGCAATGAAAGTACGGCGCGGATAAAATTTCGATTTCATTACGCAATTCGGAACAATTCTATGTTGAAAATTTGATTATAAAAAAAATTAAATTACTTATAGAAATCACTCGAACCTTGGATTATCTGTCGTATTCATTGTTGATTTCGACATATATGCTCCATTATCAATAACAAAAATTGGTTTAGTAGCCATTGAACTAAACTAAAGCACATAGATTTATACCACAACTTTTTATTTAAATATTTTATCAATATTTTGAGTTTATATATTTGAATAAACATACACAAAATAACAAGGAAAAAACACAAACAAACTGTTCAATTAAAACAATAAGATCAACTTGTCAATCTTTGGGATATTGCTCTTGTAGCCACGGTTGCATTATATATTGAACACCATCAAAGTGAGTAAAATATTCGCTCCATTGGGCATTGACGATCTAAAGCAGAAGAAAAAACATCATAGCAGATATTTAATTAAAACTTGAGACGTAAAAGTTCAGTGAGTGGCTCATTACTTTTGAGTGGAGACAATATGAATTACTTCAGTTCGATATAGCATCGAACAAATTTAGTTTTCGGGGTTTATTACTGCTGAGATGCTGTATTTTTACAGTATGCTTCATGTCAATGCTCCAAGGTGCCTCAGGAAAATAAGGAAAGCTTCGACTTGAGACAGATTCTCATGTAAGTAATTCATTGTCAAAGTTTCAAGTCTTATAATTGAGTCATTTTCTGACATCAGAGTTTTATATCTGTTGATATTTTATGAGCAATATAAAAAACAATAAGATTGCAATGTAACTGTTTCTCACGATAGGATCAAGGAAACAATTTGGAATCTTCACATTATAAACTCATTAGAATTGACACGATAGACTCGATGCAAATGTGAGTAATAGAACGTGAAATCTTTCATGTTACTATCTGCTCGTTTTTGTTCAAAGTATTATTTTTCTGTTCAAATTAATGTTCAATCAACAAACCTTTGTATGTTTGATAACTTCAATATGTTCTTGTGGTATATAAGTTTTATGAGCATGTCGATCTCTTGTATCAAGTAATACTGAGTAATTGGGTTGTTTTCTATATTCCTAGATAGTTAAAAAAAATGATTCTCTTTTATGAAAATTGATTAGTCTAGATTAACTGGATGATCTTGATGGTGTTCATCGAGCCATTGGTCTGGCGCAGAAGCTATTTCATCCCAACCAATAATTACGGCACGATAACCATAGAGTTTATGTCGAATAACTTGACCAACTCGATATTGAACATATTCAGATCGATAGGATCGAATCGCTGGTGATGCTATAGTGAAGAAAATGGCATCATGATTCATAAATCATAACAAAAAAACAAGTAAATTACTCGCAAAATATCCATATTTTTCTCTGACATGGTAAACTTCTGTAGCAGGAGACTCAATCCCACGTCTCCATGTACGCCTATGTAAAAGTGGGTTAAATCCAAGTGGCACTTCAATAACAAAACTAATGAACCAATTAAACCATGTACTTGGAGATAAATAATGAAACATTTGATTAATTTGATTTGTAATTCTAGAAAATGGAAAGTATCAATTCAAAATATCTACCCCTAATAAAAGAAAGGATAGTACTTATTCATCGCTTGGGCTTGTTCAATATCTTTGGAAGACCATTTCATTAATATGAAATATTGTAACGGCACAGCTAGTAAAAGTAAACCGAATTGAAAAAGTGCAAGACGATCCATTTTACATCTATGATACAGGCCTTATATTTCTTTTCAGTTAAAATAATCTGAAAGAAAATCGAAAATCTCATTAATTTTTTGTTTTCAAGGCATAAGTCTTTTTTAAAATAAAATGTGCGTATTATTCATCTAAATGTTTCTCCAAACACTTTGGATGAACAAAGTTCATCGCAATAATATCATCTGTAAGTTGATCTAACAAAAGTTGTCCACATAAATTGCATCGAATAAATGAAGATTGTTTTTCATTTTTAATTACGAATTCTTTTTGATATATCCAACATATATTACAATAATGTTTAGTATGATTCAATGTTTGATAAATATCAAATCGAGTAAAAGTCTTGTGACAGCGGACACATTGTTTAATATTTATATTATCAATGCCACTCCAATCCTTTTGACAACATGTCAAAGACGTATTTAAATCAGATTTTTTCTAAATAGAAATCATGTAATAAAACGAAAATATCATAAATTCGTGATTATGATTTTGTTCAAAGTAAATTCTTTATTTTTTCGTAACTCTATAGAATGTGTCGAGTTACTTACAGAAGAAAAAAAAACTTGAACAATGTTTCTCCAAGAGAAAATCAGATTTAAACAAAATTGTAAAATTCGACAAATACTGAAATATATAAAAAGGATAAAATCTCTGGATGCTCGATATAATGTGCGAAATTTTTACAATATTATTTTATTGCTGAACAAATTGAATGTTTTTACGATTATTTCATGCTATATCAAAAACAAAAGAATTCTAAGCCATTATCTACGTGAACATTTCTGACGCACTTCAATTTTTACAGGCATTTCTGTGTGTTCGTTTGTAACTTTAAAAAAATACATACACAACCATTCAGTTTTCTGATATCAATGACATCGTGACCATAACAGGATCCATGATAATTGTCATCATCGGTTTTTAAATCAATTTCTTGATGGTCAACTTTATATCGATGCGTAAAACGTTCAAATAATAATTGACCATAATCGTGTACATCGGCTTTATTAAATCTGAAAAAATAAAATAAAAACGTTTCATAACACAAAAAAAGAACTTTTTGGCAAAATAAATACGATCTGTATGAATTTGTTTTATTACTTTTTTCTTTCACGAAAGTTTCTTCTTCTAATGGATGTTTTGTTAAAATGTTCAATCTACATTGATCGCATAGAACTTGATCAAAACGAAATTTTCCAGAATAATAAATCATATTAAAAAAATTTTTATCGTCTTTCAAAAATTTTCTCTGACATTTTATGCATTGTAAACATGTTGGATGATAATACATATACGTCCTAGTGCCAATATCACTATAACGAAGAACTAATGCACCAAATAGAAAAGCTTGTTGGCAAATACAACATTGATTCGTAGAGACAATACGGTTCGATGGATAAATATTCGAAATCATAATTTATGAAAAGAAAAACTTCTTCCATTTCCCGCTTTGTTTTTCATTTAAATAAACACTTAGTTTTACATAGTATTTATTAATTCTTCTATCTAAATTAGACATCCTAGGAAAAAACACTTTTAATTTAAAATACAAAAGATTACTTACTGAAAAGAATATCTGCCATTACAATAGTTTGTTTTAATATTGATTCGGAAATATTTTCCATGATTTTCAGAATTCGACACAAACAATGAAATCAAAAGTAATTATTGATCTATGTATATATTTGAAATGCATTTCTATTTATTGTCATCGACAAGAACAAGATTAATATTTGAATTGATGATGATACAGAAATCTAAAATGATGGATCATTTATTTATCTATTTGATTTTCAACATTTTTTATCTTTCTTAGTTCGGTTTGATGATGAATATTACGTGTTACATGATATAAAAGGTTTCCAAAGAAGAACTCTATAATTGCTGACGACATTTAATCCTTGTTAAATATTAATTTAAATCTTTACATGATGATATTTACTCTATATAGATTGACTTGTCTCTTGATTACTCTCACTCTACTCAATAGTGAAGAAACGATCTATATTGCAAATAATTATCTATAATGTACTTAGCTATCATCGACACCTCAAAACGAATATATTTGTTTTTAACAATCAACGACTCATGAGTTTAATTAGAATTGTTTTTGTTGAAAGTTTTAGCTCTCATATATCATTTAGTTTTGGTAATCAATCTACTCGTAGTTATTTACATAGGGGAAAAAAATTTTTAATTTATTTGAATAATTACCAAGATGGTTGTGTTCTATGCCAACAAAATCGTTTGTAACAATTTTTTTCAAACTATCAGTTTCAGATATATGCACACGTTGGAGAAGATATTGAAGTATGTAGTCATAGATAAATTGTATTCTAATCACATTTAATGTTTAAATTATTTTTCGACGATATTAATATACGATTGAGAATAATTAACATATATTCATATTACGTGAATAGGATGTGTATTACTACTATCATAAAAATCTCATTTTAATTTATCAAGTAAGGTTTTGACAAATAAACAAACCACAATAATAAATTTCGAATAATTTGTATGGATTGTCAATTAGAAGTCTGTTAAAACAGACTCAAATTTTAAGGAAAAATGATACAAAATTGGTAACAAAAATTTAGCAATGCTAATATATATCGCTATTAAGTTTGCTATTTTCCATAATAATTTTCTATATTCAATTAATGATGGTACAGTTTCAAGAAATGACATATTTATTTGATAGTGATCAACAAGCACAATGATTTATCGTGTTTTCGTACCAATGAGTGATATGCTCGTGGTTACTAAATAGGCGACCTCTATCACCTAACACATATATGGAAGATACAGATCGAGTTAGTTTTGATACGGAAAATTCGATATCAATATATTCTATAGAACATTTTAATCCATGAGATTGAACAATTCATTACTAGAGTATACGTTCTTTTATCTATATTGTTCTTTTATTCATAAAAATATTGATTATTACGTATTTAACAATAGACTAATTAAAATAATTGCGCATCATACTGTTACTTCATCTGTCTAGTTCACGCTTGGTTGCTCTACTGTGTCACTGATTCTTTACACACCATGCGATCGAAAAGCTTAACTATTCATTGGAAAAAATTTTTGAGTTCAAGATAAAACCCCTCGGAAATCAAGAATTTATTTAGTCGCTGTTTTCATCTCATGACATTCTTTGTAATCTTAAATTCAAGCAATAATAAATTGTTCAGCAATAGTTCGTAGAAGGAATTCGGGAATATTAGATTTTGTATCTTTGCATATTATTAGTACTGTTTGTTTAATATGTAAAACTAGTATACATTCGATAAGCACATGGCTAGAATTTTATAAAACTCTAATGTTTACTAATAGATCATAGGTTGACTACCAAGAAGCATAAACAAGAAAAGCCTAAAAAGTCTGCCTATTAAACTTGTTTAAAGCTGTCCATTGAATGTTACTTTGATTTGTTGTATGTTGTTCTACTTCTGAACGATTCGGTAGGTGGATCAGTCCGTTTTCACTAGATTGACATTCAACGCTGGTGACACTAGATACTCACAATATGAGTGTCGCGATGTCCAAGGTGTTTCTGGTAATAGAACAAAAATGTATGAATTCTTCTCTGTTGCAGTATGACGTCAATGATTTGACGACTTTTCAAGGAATGTTCTATAGAAATTTTATCTTTATACATCCTTGTGTGAAAAGAAGAGTACCCTCTGATAAAAGCTATAAATAAAATAGTAAGAAAAATAATCTAGATGTTGATTCTGCATTTGAAAATTCGATTCTATAACTAATTGTCACCCATGGTCAACTATATATGGCGATAGAAAATAATTGAGCACCATCGTACAGTAAAGAAATGTTTTTTAAGCCATAAAATATTTTCTCTGTATTGCTTGTGAACTCTATAGTTTTTATCTCAGTTTTATTAGAGGTAATTTTTCTGTGTTTCAGACAGAGTATCTCTTACCGAGTAATTCGATAAGAATGACACAAAAAAAAACAAGAAAATATTATCTCATGCAGGTGGAGCGTTGCAAAAGAAATGAACATCGTTGATAAGAACAACATGAGTTAAGAAGATTTTGTTCTTGTATTCATTCTCAAAAAATGATTTAAATATAAATAACAGTTCTATGGCATCATTTTATAAATATATATATACTTTTTCAAAAACAATATGCATTCATTATAAAACAAAATAATTAGCAACATCAGCCTTGCATAAACTTTGTTGTAAAAAGTCTTCAATGATGACCGTGATGACCGTGATGACCATGATGACCATGATGACCATGATGATGATGATCAAATGATGGTGGTGGTGGTGGTGGGCAATATGGAGACACTGATGGTGGTGGACAGTACTGTGGCACTGAAGGTGGATAATATTGTGGCACTGGTGGTGGTATATGATGATGTGGAAATTGAGTAGGCGCTGGATAATGAGGTGGATGATGAGGATAATGATGAGGATGATGATGGTGGTGTGAATGTTCGTGACCCATTCCGCTCAGATGTTAAGCTGGTTACACTGTTGTAGTGAAGATTAGTTAATAGAAACTGAAACGAATGAAGAAATTCAAGAAGACATGCATGTTATATACTCCAGGGTGTCATTGCATAAATGTTTAGCCTAACTGACTCATTTTCTCGCACGATAAGAAATGAGTTAAACAATTTAAGTTTTAATTGCACATGACAGGGTACTTAGATTAGAGTAAAAAAATAGATAACAGCAATGTTTCGATTTCTTACGTTGACAAAAACACATCCATAGAGGAAAGATGAGAATCATATATTTTTCATGAATAAATCATTAGCTGTTATTCATTGACTGACGCATTTAAATTGTTTATTTTTTCGTAGCATAATTTTCGCATTGAAATTCAAACTAGAAACACTGAGAAGAACCTTAATTTCAATAGTTAAATCCGTTTATGTTTTGTTTGTAATACAAAATCTGAAGGTATGAAACATTTTTTCGTAATGAATTATGATGATATATCAATAATTTCCATTGTAAATGATAAGAATACATTTTTTTTACGCTTAAAATAATACAAAAGTGATTATTTTAACAAATTTTTCTATTTCTAAAATTTCATTTAAATCTATAAGCTAAGTAACAATTGAATGGATATCAAAACTAAGGCTTCGAGCAGAACAACTGCTTTACTCGTATTGTATAAAATGGATTGACATGAAAGTCACTAAATTACGATGATTATGAATGGGCCTTGATTGATGAAGTAGGAATTTCATTATAAAGCAGTTGTTTCTTGAAACTCGTACTGCTCAGGTTCAAACCATATGTTTAAAAAAGATGAATATTTATGCAAAATAAAATTCTTTTGTTAAATATACAAAGAATTTGATCCAGAATATATTAGAACTATTCCACATCATAAAACTCAATGAATAATAAATGTAAATCTTCAATATGATACTACATTGCATTTCCATACAATCAAACTTCTGCGACAGAAGTTCTGCCATCGGTTTCCTTTTTCTTGAAAGAACTCAGTTAAATTCCTTTGTTGTTTCATGAAATAATATTACATAGAAGATCACACTGCTAATGACCGTAATGTTGCTGCTCAGAGAAAAACTCAAACCTACGTAGAATATGTGTGTAGCCTTTGAAAGTAGTGATAATCATAAGTATTGGTGAAAACAGTTTAAACTGAAGAAGAAACAACAACCAATATGAATTTGTTCATATACAGGTCACTAATACAACAAAAAATAATATTCATTGTGCATGTAGTTGACAATATTTTTATTTTAACTAAAATGTTCAATCGCATGATATTTTATGACTTAAAACAGCATGGTAAAAAAAGACAAGACGCATCTTCAGAGAGAGATTTGCATTCTGCGCATGAATCTTTTTCGAAATCTTGACTCAAAAATCAATTGATTTTTATCAATAAAGTTAGCACTTTAGAAATAATTCATCGAACGTTCCATAATGAATGACAATGAGAAATTCTAATTAATGCAAAGAAATCTGTGGAACTACCATTTATTGATATATATATATATATACATAAACATATATAATTACAATTTAATTTATGCAGTAAAACAAACCCAAGCAATACTGTAACTGTCTCATCTCACAAATTTATGTTGTAATCGTTTATTGGTTACCCTGACACCAAATTCTCTATCAAAATGGCAAAAATAAATAAACAGCGAGCCAAATAGAATAATAGTACACAGTTGGAAAAGAAAAAGAAAACAATAGTGATAATAATAATAATAATAATAATTACTACATGGAACCAAAGAAACCCACTGTATGAATAATTAATTGGGTGAAAAATTATTGAGATCATCAAGCATACGTTTTTTCCTTGCCCATTGTATATATTGAGCATATAATGAACGTGCATATGATAGGATTCTTTCACCATTGTGACGACGACGAAAACGATCAAAATATACGGCTATTTCTTGTTCATCAAGATTCATTTGTTTCAATAATAAATTACGATGAGCTAATAGTATCGAGACACAAAGAAAAAGTAAAAATAAATTTTCTTCTTCAAGCCACGTTGTATTATCACTGAGTAAGCGTTGTATCCAATTAGCTGTTGCTGAATATTGTGTCGGTACAGCTGCACTAGCAACTGCGTTTGTCGGAGTAGTCATAGAATCATTACAAGACAGTGTCGATAAATTGTTCATATCAAATTCAGATATTTCACTAAGTGAATATGAGTTTTCTAAACTTTTCCCTCTTGATTTCGCCCACGAAGCATTTAAATTCCTAGTGGTGAAATTATATTCATCATTATCCAAAGTTACATTACTATCGCGTCGTTCATGGTCTTGTAAAGTAGATAATAATTCGTCTCTACTAATATAAGTTAATGATGACGAACGATGTCTATATTTACAAGTGCTCGACTCATCCATGACTGATAAGGGTGGACAACTCAGCGCACGACGTTGTATTTGTTGACTTGCTTCGTTAGATAAATTATCAGAAATCAATGTATCCGATGGTGAAGTTATTAAACATATATCGCTGAGTTGTGGTGGTTCATTATCGATTGGTAATGTTGCCCACATTACTTCAAGTACACGTAAAGCATCATTAAATGGAAATTCACGTTTACATTCGAGTAATAACCATCGATAAGTAAAATAAAGATTGACTAAAAATGATCAAACAAAAAATAATTTTAAATAATTTAATTTGTCAACTCTACAGAATTCTTTAGCTATATAATTTACCTGCATCACAAGATTCAAGAAAATTCCAATAAACAGGATCAATAGCTCTTAGAAGCGTTTTAAGATGATGAAGTTTCGTTGCTATAGCTACACCATCCGTAGCAAAATTGACTTGAATACGTTTCATAAGCGAACAAAAACATACATATGCTAATGATTCTTCGCGCATTACATATAAAATTGTCGAAGCATAATCATTCATCCCTGAAAGTAATCAGAAAAATCAATTTTTACATATAAAAGAAGACATAAGAAACCAGAAAAATTTTCTCTCGATATATTTCAATTTCAGTTGTTTTAGTATAGAAAAATTAAAATTATTTTCCGAAGATAAGGAAGTAGACAAATCTGTTCACACGCTCACTTGTACATCCTTTATAAAACTGACAACATCTTCATTAATGACTAATTGAAATTTATTTATTATTCTTAAATTAAATATTTATCTTAAGTGCTGCTATTCAAATCTCACTGGAGAAGTTAAAAGAAACAGTAATATATTCAAACCTTGGTTATAGGTAACATTTGGATGACTAATACAATAAGTTGTGAGAATATGAAATAGAGATCGGACATTAACAGAACCATAACCAGAATCAGCATAGAAACCAAAGGATCGATCAGTTCGAGAAACATCTTTTTCTATCGTACGCATAATAACTCGAGTATGTTCGTTTTGATGTTGTTCATCTGTCCATCGTTTTTTTAATCTAATAAAATAAAACAACATTCAAAATATATTTCGTCTGCAAATATGATTACGAACTTTCTATATTTAATTTCTACACATTTAAGATAGGCAATACGTTCAAGACCAGTCATATTTGGTGGAAAGATGTTTAACAAATGACGCCATACAACTTTCCGATAGGCTGGTTCAACACCACCTTCAAATATAGCTTGTCGTAACTCATTTATATGTATAAGACGTCCTTCAGGATCAAGAAATCTTTTCATATCACTTTCATTCACTGGTCTTGAATTGTGTCGTTCATTCCCTCCTCCATACATCCAATCTAAAAAATTTATATCATCAATATCGAAGAAAAGCCTTCGAGTCTTACTGATGGCTTTATTCAAAGCTGAAGCTGCTTTTCCAGCTGTTTGATTTACGGTTGCAATAATCGATCGGCTATCAACATTAAACCAACGAATATTTGCATTGAAATCATTTAATCCAATAAAATCCCAATCATCGAGACCTAACAAAAATACAAGAAAACTTTCATTAAACAACAAAATATAATTTAATCTGTTACCTTCTTCTCGAGGAGTTATTTCATATCGTAATCTTAAATATGAACCTGGTTGAACAGTTTGTATTGATGCATCAAGATCCCAATCGGACCAAATAGCCGTTACTTGTTCTCGGCCACTCTTTGTACATTTATGTATGGCGTGTATTGTAAAATCTGATTTAATATCAAATGCTTGAGCAATTAAGCACTGTAACGTTTGATAAGTTGTTAAACGGGGATCAATGCAAAATTTTTTCGATGATCCTACTTCATGACCTTGATCGTTTACATTAATATTCGGTTTCTAGAATTTTTTTAAAGTGAAAAACAAATAATTAAGCCGACAAAAAAACGTTTTCTCACATAAACTTTTATTCTCACAACGTCTGGTTGAGCTGATCCAATAACAGACATGGACGGTAGCGAAGTACTCGCTCGTTTGGCGTTCCAAGTCTGAAAAGATAACTAAATTCAAAAGATTTTAATAAGAAAATTAAAATAAAACAAATAATTACACACGTTAGATTTTTTTCTATTAAAAATATTCCTCTCCATATTGATCTGACCTGAAGTAACACGGTGTCTAGCAAAATTTCATTCTTGTATATTCTTTATTTTATTTTTTCCATTTACCTCTCCTATGCAAATAAACCTTTTGTTTTATAATCGTCATGTGTCTACGCTTAGAATCTCGAATGATAACCAAACTCTAATTTATGGTAGAAAAAAACAAGAATTTCTCTCTTTTGTTTTTGTTCTATGTAGTATACCGCCCTATGTTTAGATGAATGGAACTCTTTTTCTAGCCGTACACTAATCCTCAAAAACAAAAATGAAAAAGAAAAGACAATTATTTTGTGATGCATATACATATATTTCTTTTTGAAACTAAAATATGTAAATAAAAATAAACAAAAAATATTTTCTTAATTCACAGCCAAGCAGATAATTCATTTCGATTAAGTTCAATTGCTTGCACATGTAATAATCGTTTTTGATTATAACCTAACCATTCACTTAATTGACTTTCACTTGGTATCATGGACATAATTAATAAATTTTCATATTGAAAATAAATATGTAAATAATGTAAATGAGAACGCATTTTAATTAAAATAGATTGACCGATTGTATCTAATTGTTCATTAAATGATGAAATAAATTTCATAGAAAATTTTAATGTTTGTAATTTAGGAAATTTAAGACCAATCTCTTTTATATGTACGTCTCTTAAACAACACAAACCGGATATATTTAAATGAAAAATATTTGCACAAAAATCACTTTGATGAAGAATATCATTTAATATCGAACAATTCAAATCGTTGTTAGTGATATCAAGATAACGTAAACATTGAAATTTGTATAAGGGTAAAATATATTTTATTAAATACGATGAACATTGATCACTAATAAAGTGTATATGACGAATATTTGAAATAACTTGTCGAAGAATAGTATTTGATGGAATTGCCATTCGATTAAAATTATATCGAGGTGTATGTATCAATTCTAAGGATGTTAAATTTGTTAAACAATTTATTTGATTACTTGATGGAATTATACTCGGATAATTTGGAAAACATGGATCGAATATTAATCGAGTTAGACTTCGATAATCAGACTAGAACAATAGCAAAAAGTTTTAAATGTTAATTGCAAGATTGTGAAAGATATATTTCCAGAAACTACTTTTTTCTTTCGAATGTCTACAATTTCTTGTCATTAATGGGGTTGTGGCAAATGTAAATAAAGAAAACTTCCATAATTTCATTTATTTGGGAAAATGGACCATACCTTGCTGTCACAAACTATGAGATTAGTCATATCCAACTGTTGTTTTTATTCATTTTCAAGGTTCTGTTGACCTGTGTATCACGTTTGATGATATAACATCATATGATTCACTTGAAAAATAAAACGCATACATATTCAGCCCAAACAATAGCTTGTAAAAACAAAAGAACGTATAATTAATAGATTATTCTATTGCTTATCAACATACGTGATTACACAAGTTTTAAGGTAATGTTCTCGTGTTGAAAAAGTTCTGTGCAGTTTGAGTTATTAAAATTAACACGAGCCGACAGAAGAATACGTCGCATTTGGATCTTTTTCAAAAATAAAAGCTCAACTGTTCTCAACTTAATTTTCATGATTTCTATTGCAGTCTTCTGAAAAAGTAGGACATTTTTCTTTCTTTCTTTATGTTGTTCTAATTGTGTGTTCTCGAATTCTCGAATTCTCGAATTCTCGAAGGAGTTTCACAATAGCTGATTAGTTTTTATTTCATTTCAAAACGCATGATTAAGTAGTACCCATTTTTTCTCAGTCGTATCTTTTATTAGGATATTAAAAAAATATATTTCTACAAATCGATCACTCATTTTTCTTCTCAAATATGAATGATAACTTCTAAGCGGAGGACTTTATAGTCTAAATACTCTTCAGAATAAATATATAAAATGACGGCTTCAACGCGCATTCGAGTTAGTTTATTAGTTGTTTTTACATTCTTATTTGATGAATATATCCCTTGAAAACATCATGCAATTTTTTAATGAACCAACTCAAGATTAATTTATGATAGTAGGAATAATTACAATGACAATAGTATTATATGTAAAAATTTTCTAAGAATAAGATAATAGACTTACACAAACACCTATGATATTTTGATTATTAATTAATGTAATCTTTGATGCACAAAATGGTGATGTATATATGAGTAAAGGAAAACCTTCGCCAAGTGAAAAATTTCGACAATAAGCAATTGTTACATTCGCTTGATGTTGTGTATAAAATTCATTTTGGAAACTTTGTGCCAATATATCAATATCGTAATTTATTATAAGATTACTTGGAATGAATTGTAAAAAGAAATGAATATGGCATTTATCTGCTATATTTGACAGTAATGAACTAAATAATTGGCCATGATAATATTCGAATTGATCATCAATTATGAGAAGAGTCAATTCAGATAATGTATCAACAACAAATGGTGACATGTAAACCCATTGTCGATTATAATTATCTATATACAATTTCAAATGTTTTACATATGATATTATTGTTTGAATGATTGGATTTTGATAACTGACTAGCATTTGATTATAAATTCCACCGTGATCTACTAATAATGTTCTCATCACTGTATTACTACATATCATCAAACAATCAAGTTTATCGTGAGAAAATGTTTTTCTAAAAATAATTTTATCAACGAAAGAATGAACAATAAATGATTGAAGAATGATATCAGGTAAGCAGATGGCTGTGTCAATAATTGGACGAATGTAAATTAATTGTTGTAAATTTTTTAAAAGACATTTCAACTGATAAGAGTCAAGAACGGTTGACAATATAAATTCGATATTTGCCGAACAAGAACCAGTACGAGAATGTTGATTTGTTAATTTGAATGAGTGACAGTGTAATGATATATAATTTGAAACATTTTTAAAAAAACTTGTTATATCTCGACATGTCCATGCTGAAATTTCAACTGTATTTAAACGAAGTTGTTTAGTAAGAGAATTAAAACGTTTATTAAGATACAAAAATGATCTAAGAATATCATCACCACTTAAATAATCGAAGATGATATGAAAAATTTCAGCTGGAAACTCTTCGAATTTTGTACTAGAAAGTAAAAAGTTTAATTGACAAGGAAAAAAAGAGAAAATTTTAGACTTTACAGCTCATTCACACGGTCCATGCTACCCAAGGTATTCATCTAAAAGAAACAAAACAGTAATACAATATTGCCTAGATATAATATAGTTAAATCTTGTAAGATCGAGTCGTAAACTGTTCTTCAAAAAAAAAAAGAAAATGAAAAATTGATGAATTCAAAATAGTGAATAAGTCATGTATTCACCAAAAACATTGATAAAAATTAGTCTGGCATTTTTTATTTATTTTACTTGTTTACCTCAATTAAGAGTAGCATATAACGACTAACTCTGTGTAGGTATAGTCTATTGAAGTACGACGTTCTCCTTACTACTTCCGACTTTGCAAATTAATTTTTATTGGCTACATTCTTAATACGTCTTTTCCCTAAAATGGCCGACAAGTGCTGCATAAAGCTATCAAGAAGTTATTAAATAAAATAAAAACTTCAATAAATTCCAAAGCACTATGCAAACCAACAAATAGAAGATTTTCATTGTGTGATAATCGTTAAAAGCTTTACTTCCATCGTATAAACACCATCTCTTTAATGATGATTCTATTGTTAACAGCTGTTGTTTGTACCGAGTAACATGGAACGTTTAATCGGACGTTAAAACCAAACAGAGACAAGAAAAAGACAAGTTTTGCAATTAGACAGAAAAAAATTTCATTTTTCAAATTTCCGGTTTTTCATGTCAGAAAATTTTCTAAAGAAATTTGGTTATAATGTGCTCAAATGACTTTCTCATGCATATTATTGCTCTTTATGTTATATATGGGATTTTGTAGGATATCAAACTATTCATACTCCCTCAAAAGATTCACACGATTTTTACTGTATTGACATGTATACTCTGCCTACGAAAATAATATTGAAAATCGATAAATATATTACTAAATAAATAGTAAAAGAAGCACACGCATGACAAACAATTAAAATCAATAATTGGTTATTAAATAACAAATCAAAAGACACTTCGTATTCTCTAACATGATCATATGTCATGTGCATTGGTAACTTAAATTAAAACACACATAAACAAAAAGAAAGAACAACAATTAAAAATATTCTTTTTTCCCTTTTTCTACTTTTTCGTTTGAAATTTTTCATATCGATAAATAATTGTCATCAATCGCAATAGTCATTTCGAAATAGACAGAAAGAGTCGAATTGTTTTTCATGTCTTCAAAAAAGAGTATCGACGCTGTTAGAAATGGCTACACGTTGTTTTTTCTTGTCTTCGGCATCCTTTTTTTCTTTTTCAAATTTTTAGATAACAAAATCACGCACGCATTTGCTGAAATTCGTTATTAAAATTTTGTTACATCGGAAAATGATGAAATCTAATTGAAAAAAAGAAATCATTGTTGAAAATCTTATATTTTCTCCCCCAATCCCATCCTCAACGTATTAACATTTCATCTGTTACACAATTTTTTTGTTTTAATTTCCTTTCTTTGTTATTGTTAAAATGGCAAACGAACAAGACAAACTAAATATCGACGGAATAATTCAACGATTACTTGAATGTAATATAACAATGTTTTAGTGTTCGTGATACATAAAAATTTTGAAACATTTTCACTTTAGTTCGCGGAACTAGACCTAATAAAAATGTTCATTTAAATGAAAATGAAGTGCGCGGGTTATGTTTGAAATCGCGCGAAATATTTCTTAGTCAACCAATCCTACTTGAACTTGAAGCACCACTTAAAATATGCGGTATGAAAAAAGTTTATAGAGCGATTTTCGAATATTAAACGCAATTCATTTTTTTTTCTAATTTTTCTAGGCGATATTCATGGTAGGCAAATTGAATACATGTTTTGTTTTCGATAGTTTTCAAGAAGAAAAATATTCGAATTTCTAGGTCAATATTATGATCTGCTTCGTTTATTTGAATATGGGGGATTTCCTCCAGAATCGAACTATTTATTTCTTGGTGATTATGTTGACCGTGGAAAACAATCACTTGAAACAATATGTCTCTTATTAGCTTATAAAGTAACCGCTTATATCATGTTTTCTATTGGAATTTTAAACAATTTATTTGTTTATATTTCTTTTATTTACAGATAAAATATCCTGAAAATTTTTTCCTTCTTCGTGGTAATCATGAATGTGCATCTATTAATCGTATATATGGATTTTATGATGAATGTAAAAGAAGATATAACATAAAATTATGGAAAACATTTACTGATTGTTTTAATTGTCTTCCTGTGGCTGCGATTATTGATGAAAAAATTTTTTGTTGTCATGGCGGCTTAAGTCCAGATTTACAATCTATGGAACAAATACGACGAATAATGAGACCCACTGATGTACCTGATCAAGGTTTACTTTGTGATTTATTATGGTCTGATCCTGATAAAGAAGTAAATGGTTGGGGTGAAAATGATCGTGGAGTATCGTTTACATTTGGAGCAGAAATTGTTTCAAAATTTTTACATAAACATGACCTAGATCTTATATGTCGTGCACATCAGGTTTGTATTTTCATTATTGAAATCGACATTAATATAAACATTTTTCTTTATTAATTAATAAACAATATTTTTATTGTAGGTTGTCGAAGATGGTTATGAATTTTTCGCTAAACGTCAATTAGTTACATTATTTTCAGCACCAAATTATTGTGGTGAATTCGATAATGCCGGAGCCATGATGTCCGTCGATGAAACGCTTATGTGTAGTTTTCAAGTAAAGATATTTTTTTGTTTTGTTCAATATGAGAAACATTTGTTCATGTGTTTTTATCTCTGCATAGATTTTGAAACCATCCGAAAAGAAAACCAAAACACCTATGCCTAATAGTCGTCCAGTCACACCTCCACGAGGCGGTGGAAATGCTAGTGGCAAAGATGCCTTATTAAAAGATGGGAAAAAACCTATGTAAACCTGTGCAACAATCATTTTTACATATTGAATTCAAATCAACACGCACTTATATACACTACTTTTTCAACCTTTGCTTATACTTATTCCCTACCGGTTGCATAATCTTACTTAACTATCAACAACATAGACATCATTCGTCTTTTGTATATAATCAAAATCATCAGTTTTTTTCTTTTGTACGCGTACGCATTTTCTCTTTTGCTCTATAGATATATATATATATATATATATTGATATATTCACTATAACTACTATCAAGCATTCATATTTCTTTTTTTCTTCTTATTGTCATCTTTGTCAGTTGTTTGGTTTTTTTCCTTCTAGTTCAAAAAAAAAATGAAACATTTTCTGTTCGCGTGCATTCGACAAAATAATCAGTCGATTTATTATTTTCTTTTCTTATTCTTGGTTCATATGTATGATTTCTAGATGCGTTTGATGATGGCGATCTCTATGGCTAGACAGTAATAAGCAACGAAAGATGAATGTCTATGCGTCAATTAAATTTCTTTTTTCATTAGAACATGATCTTGTCAGCCAACTTTTTTCCTTCTTCTGTGTGTGACTTCTATTCGAGAAGAATAAAAACAAAAAAGGGATTTAAGTAGTATTTGTTTTTGTTTCTTTTATACTATTCAATGGATCATAATGATGACGAGTATAGATTCCAAAATAGTCTTATTGAATTCATTCAACTTGAGATAATCTCAAAGTGTTCAACAAATAATATATATATATATATTGGTTTGCATTTATTGGAGTAATATGAACTGATAGGATATAATGAAGGTTCAATGAAGATAAAGATTTTAGAAAAATCGAAATCAAGATTATAAAAAAAAATGATATGGTTCAATATATTAATAAGATGAATTCAAATGATTTATAGTTGCTGTCGTTAATATTTTGAACGATATTTTCTTTCGAAGGAATATAATCTTGTTGAAAGAAAATTTCCTGTTTGTTAATTATACAAAAAAAATAGTTTTACTAGTCAATTTCTTGTATGACAATTTACTTTCTATTGATTATTTGGGCAAGAAAGAAACAAGCGAATGGGTGTACCGAGAGTACATACGGGATCAGGGGCGATGAGGATCAAAGTAGGTTAGCGTGAGTGTCTTTTCTATAGTTTCACTCTCGTCCCACACGTTGACGTTCAAATCCATGCTCGCTGTTTATTGACTCGTATGCTTTCTCCGTCTACATAATCAGCGGAAAGTAGATCCTCAGACAAGAAGTCGTCTAATTTGAACATATTATATTTAGTCAATAGACAGGAAATCTGTTAACATCAAGCTGCATACTCGAAACAAATGAAGAGCTAAATATTGAGTGATTCATGAATCTGGGGAAAAATAAAAAATATATAGTTAAAGAATATAAATTGAGTACTTGACAAATTGTCTTCAAGTGTCGACATTTCTATTTTCCTATTTCTTATTTTCTTAAAAGAATGTTTTGCAATAAAATAAAATTCAAGAGAATATACGCAATTAAGTTTATGTTGCTAACAGAAACAATGACATATACTTTTGTAACAAAAGAACAATCAAAATCGTATATAGGTTCGGTTAAGATTTTGATTTAAATAGTAAGAAAAAGAATACATAGTCAAAGTTTAGCTTTTTGTTAGTTTAAAAAAAAGCCAATAAATAGATCATGTGATTGATGACGATATTTTATCATGCTGAGTTACGTATCGTTATTGCAATTCAATATAAAACTGTGAATGCGGAAAATAATATATTCATACTCAAATTGAATTATTTGATGAGAAAATGAATAGAAAATTTCTAATAGAGTCTATCGAACACGAGTCAGCTGCTCGAGTTTTGACCGATTTCAAAATAGCTTCTCGTTACAAAAGAGAAACAAAACTGGAGTCCGCACTCAATCTTTTTATTTTTTAATATGCATAAGAAAATATTATTCAAATTTATTTTAGAATATCATTTTCATTCGTATATATAATCAATGTCTTTCAACGATTGGTTGTCCTCTTCGTCCGTATCTCGCCTACCTTTATCGACAACTAGAAATTTTAATGATGTAAAACAGCAACATCATTATCACTATCATCATCATCATCATTACCATTATCAGCATGCACCGATGACGACAACAACTATAAGTCATCCATCATATAACAATTGTCAACATCAATGCTGTCAACAACACGACAATTCTAACTCATTTACACTTGTACCACCAATGTCCATGATAAATCATCAAATACCATTAAAATATAAAGAAAATTTTCATCAAAATTCAACACTTAAACTGCGTCGTAGTGTTGCTTTATTTCTTCATCTAATCGGTAGTTATTTATGAAAAAAAAAAATAAAGATTCGAAACAATGTCATGTTTTCTTCGATTCTTTAGATAATTCCTCAATATCCGATTTCCTCCAATATGATAAACATTTCCGACATGCTGATAAAGTAAATAAGACTGTTTTTTCTTATAATTTTAAATCGGCATTTTTTTTTAAATCTAGTATCTATTAGCGATGACATTAATCTATTTTTGGCGAGCAAAATTACGTGAACATCATTACACAAAAGATTCGTTTTATTTAGCCTTGTAAGTAATGAATACAATAGATTATTTGTTTTGCGTTTTTTTCTCGACTAGATTTTGATTGTAGAAGTTTATGTTTATCTTAAAAGCATTAGTTATTCTATTTTCCGAAAAATTAGATTAGTACATTGAATGTAAGCTGTCAATTTAAGACATGGCTCACTGCTAGTATTCTTTTGTATTGTACTTGATTTTGTAGAATAGAGAAAAAAAGTTTTTTTTTCTTGGAACGTCAGTCATTATATTGTTCTATTTTCCAGCTACATTCACATGACTTTCGTATCTATTTACATTACTGTCATTGAGAATATCATGCTGTTTCGGGCTACAAATGAGCTCTATATTATTTCACCATTTGAAATCGATTGAAAATTGATATTACATGTTCTAATATAATTGTGTAGATCATTGAGAGACAAATATTTGAATAGTTAGGATATATTTACAGAATTCATGGTAATTGAGAGCAATAGGAAATACAAATGTTACCATTATCTATGTAGTACTTGTTCTATAAAATGATCTATACCATTTTCTTTCATGCACATTTAGATGGTTAGCACATGATTCTGTTGAAGAAGATCTGACAGCAAAGTATGGTTTATTACCATGGGCACTTCAAACAAATGATGGTCGTCCATCGGTTGATTTAAAAAATGATTTTAAAAGATTTTTATCGAAGAAAAACGATCTATGGACTCGTATGGGTTTTCGAGCTCGAGTCACAAAAGATGAATGTGATGAAGTAAGAATTTGCTTGTGTTTGAAATTTTCATTCAAAAACTATGTCTTTTATCATAGATCATGCTTGTTCAGCCAAATCATTGGCTTTGGCAACGAGAACGATCAACAGATTATAATAAAAAAATGGCTTTATTGAATCGAAAACAAAAAAATGGCATATTGAATAGTGAAGACAGTTGTTCATCTACTTTATTGATGTCACCTGTTGATGATACAAAGTAAGTTGAAATTAAAATTTTGTTGGTTTTATCGAAAACTATGGAATGCACTAAAAAATCTTGTTTTTAATTTTGTTTTATTATTTCACCCCATTCGTTAAGGTCAATCATGATTGTCGACGATATGAATCCTGATAATGTTTCTTGGACAAGCGATGATGAAACCGACGAGATAATCATATTGGATTAAATTATTTTTTCTATTTTCTTTATAGGAGAAATATACTTTATTTTTGTGTGTATGTGTGATATTTAGGAACTATGTATTTTCTTTTGTTATTTATTTGGAAAGAAGAAGAGGATATTTTTGAATCAAGTTTATATAAATAAATAAGTAGCATTTAGTTTTTCTTTTTGTTTAGTTCCTTGAATAATCCCAATGGACAATCAGTTCCACTTGATATTTCTGTGGATACAATGGACGATGAAGACTGTTGAAATTTATTATTTTTCTGTTTTGCTTTTTAATTTTTATATTATTTTCAATATTCTTGGTTTCTTTCTTTTTAGTTTAAAAATATTAAGAAAAGTCAAATTTCAGTTTGCAAATGTGTTAATACAAGAATTAAAAATGATCAGTTTCATTTGTATTGAGTATGTTCGTTAAATAATATGTGCGTTATGAGTTTTATTTTTATTTTGTTAATATCTAATGTGTTCAAAATCCCGAGTGGATTTTTAGTATTTTAGTTTATTGAGTTATTACATGTGCTTGTTCAATATATGCGTTCTTGTTATTCACGATGGTTAAAATGTGTTTATTATTTTATGTTTAATAATAGAATATAAAAAGTGTAATGATAAACAAATCTGTTCTGCATGTTTAATTAGTTTAATGATGATATATAAATTGTGTTTTAATGTTCTATTAATAAAATTAATAAAATTAAAAAATAAATAATTGGTTTTGATGTTGCAGTTTCTACAATCATGCCTATTCAATCAGTAATGTATTCATCAATTGAGAGAACTTATAATTTACGATCTTGTGCTTAATTCGACTTTTTTTTTATGTGATTATTTTTTGTGTATTATTTTAAGATAGTCAATATACTGATTGGATTGAGAATACAATAAAAGGAAGTTCGGCTCGATAGATGATGACGATCGTCTAAATAAAGATGAACGTTTATCAAATTAAAGTGCTAGTCATTGATTATCGTAACTGATGCGACGAAAGAATTATCGGAGTGTTATTTTTGTTTAAAGAAAATCTCTGAGACTTCATGCATTTGTCACACATATAAAACAGATATCAGTACGGAATTACGGTTAGATGAATTTATGCTACTGCAATCAAGTAGTATGATGGATGAAAATTAATCATAGGAAAAATATTTTTCGTAGCTTTGAATATGCCAGATTATACTATCGAACTTAAAGATATTTGCCAAATAAGACAATATTATTATTGATAGAGAGAGAGAGAGAGAGAGAACTTATTACTACGTACTGCAATGAAATCGTATAGGAAGATCTCTGATATATGCAAAGATAGGGCAAATAGATATCAAATAAAGAATCAAAAGTCTAACAATCCAATTTCAGAAAAAAACAGCGGATATTGAAACACTTCAGATGAATTCTTCGGAAATGGAAAATTTCCGGATGCGTCCCACTGACTTCCGATAAAATTCCTTGATGCATTCAAAAGTAAGCTATTCTCACATTTTTCGATGAATAACTAATTGGTATCCGACATATTTTTATCCTGAAAATAAAAGTACATCTTTTGCACATTAAAATCGAATGAACTCTATAGTTTCATTCATTTATTTCAATTGATGAAATGCACAACGTAACAATTTCAAATCTATGATTACGTAAATAAATGCATCGTAATTTTGAATCGATTACTTTTTCTTCAGACTTTAATCGCTATGAAGTCACTGATGTCGTCGAAAGTATATTTTATCAAGTGTTAAATTATAGATTACATGCTCTGTTGAATCAAATATCAAATAATATTTATGAGTTGGCCTATCGTTTGACTTGTTTATGAAAAGTATTCCAGATCAAGGCGGTGCCATTCAATACACTTGTATTGGTCATTCTTGAGATAAACTTTTCATTAAAACTACTATAACTTGATGGAAACGATTTACAAGTTCAAATTCTTGTAGAGACTTTAATACATCATCGAAGTATTAGTTACAGACTAAGAAGATTTTCATACTTTTATTAGTTCACTTTAATATCTGTACTAATGAAATTTGCCTGTTTTTATTTAAAAATTTCGATGAACAAAAATAGGCAACATTTATCTATGAATTACAATAAAAAAAAAATATCAATATGTAAAAATGAAATTATGTTTATATTGCTTGCATAGTATCTTAGGAAAAACGTTGGCATGACAAAAACAGAGAAATGCTTTTGAGCATAGAAAATAATTTTGAAATACTTGGAATACAGTTAATTTAAAATGTTCCTAAAATTTTTGAACAACATAAAATAATAAATTAAGAAAAAATTTAATAGAACTATTTTTAGACTTTGTCCTCCTCATTATCAACATAATTGAGCTTTTCACCAAGCTCAGTCTCGTAATATCCGGCTAGGTCAGCATTTTTCTCAGTCATTTCAATATCAGCAGCTGGTGGAACAAGCTGAGAAGCTGTTGAACATGACCATATTGTATAGATAAGTGATGCCGTAAATACAGATAAAACTGATAAACAAATATGATATCCAAATTGTGGCATGTGTGGTAAACAAATAATAAGTGTATAACGAATTAAATCAAAAAGTTGATTGAGTGAATGTTGTGTACCGCCAATACGGCCACGAATTTTTTCTGGAACACGTTCTTGCTGTAACTGACTTACAGTTAAATCAGCAATCCATAAACCTAATAAAAAAAAACAATTAAAATCAAATACAAATGTTTTCTTAAAAAAATTTACCGAATCGATTGAGAGTTATACCAATGACAAGTAACAAGACGGATAATTTGGAATTTGAGCAAGGAAGGTGCATTAAAGTTGATGTAGCATTAGTACTATTCGAGTATGTATCATAATAATGGCATGAAACAGCTGTAAACTTTTCAAATGGAATAAATGATGTTCCATGAACAAATAACGATAATAAGCAAAGAATTAACATTGAGAATTCCGACCAAAAACCAATAACACCGGTACGCACCAAACCTATACGTTTTACAAAAATAGGATAAGCAAGAGTACCAATAATACCAATAATTGATCCTAAGCCATTCAATAAACCCAACAAAACTTCTGATAAACCTTGTTCAATAACATAAGCTAAGAAATAAATTTCACCGTAGAGTAAACATACAAATATTTGTTTTTTGTTTTAAATTCCGAAAAATATTTACCTCGTGTAACAGAATCAAAACTCAAAACAGTCAAATATAGTAATGCAAGTGAAAGCCCTGGTAAAAATACGGATAACGAAGCATATGTTCCTAAACCTTGGAGAGATGAAAAGAACCTTATGAAAATTAAAAAAAAACACATTTTCGTGATAAATAATATTATTTTTCATATCGAAATCTATACTTTCTTATTGGTCCTTCTCTTTTTTCAGCTAATTCTAAATAACAAAAACAAAAATTGTAAATGCGATTATAGAATAATTTATCGAACAAGAAAAGTATAATTTACTTTCGTTCGATTTTGCAGCTGATATTTTATTCGATAAGACATCATGAGCATATCCATAGACTCTTGTATATAATAAAAGTTCAAAACAAAGTGAAACAACATTCCAACCAGCAATCAATACAGCACTAAGCCATCTTGATGTAAATGCCATGACAGCACCGGTTAAAATTGGTGCTAATACACCACTAATAAGATCGATTCGACGAAGCGTTGCATTCGTATCTATTCTGATTAGAAATTCTTTTAAAACACATTTCTAGACAATAAAGAAAGCTCTACTAGCTAAGTTTTGCCGATCAGAACCATATAATGCTACAACCCAATCTTTTGATATTGATACTTTACATGCTACACTAGATAGTGTTGCTATCATACCAATACCAATCAAAATACCTAAAGTAATAAAATAAATATTTTAAGCCGAAAACAAAAAAGAAAAAATTGCTGATGATTTAAATAACCTTGAATTATAAGCATCCAATATGATGGCAACCAAGATTGATTGTATAGAGCAATAACGACTAATACAGCCATAACAGATACAGATAAATTTTGAAAGTATAATGCTTTTCGAAGAGCTGAGAGGAGAAATCAAATAGATACATATATCAACAAACTATCAATATAACTTACCTGGTAAACGTTGATTACGATCTATCCAATCGCCAATGGCTCCTCCAAATAAAATCACAGCTAAATTAAGTGCAACACCATTCAAAGCGACACTTTGAAGATTATTTGGATTGAGAGATATAAAGTAAATGCCAACAGCAAAATTCCACATTCTATCACCCTACAACACGAAGGTATTATCATTACGCTCGAACCATTGAACGATGTTAGTTTTAAGTACAGCAAAAACAAAAGATATTTACCCATGCTGATAAACCCATTGCAATGTAGAGAAATATTTTTGTCTTGTCTAAAAAAATGTTTGCTTGGAATTTTAACGCAAAATAATAAGTCAATTCGGCTAATTACCATATTTTGATTTTGGTTTATCAGTTGTAGCAATTTCCGTGCTAGTGTCGACTGGCTGCTGATCTGTCATAGCTTTCTACAACGCATACACTTATGAATAGTAAAATGATATATTTAGTGCAATTAGAATACAACAATCCCACTTTTACAAAAACAATCATTCGTGCCTACTGATAAGATATTAAGTAAATAGTGCACATGATGTTATATTTTTATTTTAGTTAGAAAAAGAATGATATTGTTCTCTTTTTCTTAAAAAAAACCGACAATATAATCAAAATAGAAAGATGAATGCGCTATCTTCAAGGACAAATGACAATGATGTTAGTACTTGTTTTCAATAGGAATGGAACACAAAAAGGAGTCCATAATTATTCGATTGGATCACTAATTCAGATATATTTTTATTCATTATGAATTTTTTGTTTCTTGTTGACATTGCCATCTTCCTTGTACGTAAATACTCGTATATCGTGATCAATGCCACGTTGTTGAATAAATATTTTGAACATACGTCGAAATGCAGATAGAATTGGTTCATCACTGTAACGAACCAAATCAGGAAATGCTTTTCGGAAATGCATTGTTGCCTCTTCTATCAGATGAAACGAAAAAGACGATATTAATAAAAAAGAAAAAAAATAGTAAATTCTTACCTAAATGATAATGCGGTACTTTAGTAAAGAGATGATGAATTTGATGTGTACCAATGGTATGGATCACGGAATGAACACAACCATAATCACGATCGACAGTTGATAATTGACCTTTCACATTATTCCATTCAGAATCAGCATACCAGGGTACATCACTAGAACAAATTGATGAGAAGATTTTCTAAAAGAACTATCATGGGTACATATTTTGAAAGTCACAAAGCACATCGAGCCTGTAAAACAATGCAGTATTTCCTAGGAGAAACGTTTTACTTCTTCAAAATACTTAAAATTCTCTTTCAAATGTAGAAATATGCATGAACATTTATTAAGATTTCAGAGATATAAAGTAACTCTTAAATTTATTCTTTCAATTTCATTTTTTTTTCTCCTATAACCGTAAACATTTTAAACATGTCAACTAGTGATTCGAATGGAAAATTTAATTGTCAACGACAGGAATCTCAGTCGGTGAAAGTAATGACGACTTGAGCAATAATAGAATTTCTATAATATTAAGATTTTTCAGCTAGTAGAAATTTAAGAGCTACTATTCAAATCTTGAACGTACTACCCAAGCAGACAAACTTTTGGAAAAACGCATTTATACACCCAATCGGGAACCGCGATTGTAAGTCATTAACACTCAGTAATGAAACGCAAGAAACACGTTTTCCCAAAAGTTTGTCTGCTTGGGTAGAAGTTTCATCACTCTAATATCATTTTCAACAGTATGAAGTATTCTTATTAATACTCGATTTCGAAATATTAATCTTTATTCTATTCTCTGTAAAATTTCAAATAAGGTACATTACATTTCTGTATGATGTAACATTGTTATAATAACCATGTACGATGCAAACAGGAACACTGGTATTAAATGATAAGCAACTAAGTTCATGAAACTAAACGAACAGGCATAAAGATACATCGAATAGCACTAAATAAATCAAAATATGTATATTTCAACGAGAAAATCGATTTAATAACATACTATTCCTACATATGCCAAGAGCGAACACGAAACACCAAATAAATTTCGATTATAGAACATCGGTTCAAACTTAGAGAAAATAATAACAGTAATTTATTTCAAATTCGTAAAGAAGATTAAAATTATTTACTGGATTAAAATGGTTAATTGTTCTCGGTGAATAACCATTTATTAAATAATAGAACCAGCCAATGCCAGGAAGCCATGAGAGAATATCATCGATTAATGATGGTTCAAACGGTGCGCCGCGTTGAGGATAAAATATTTCATCTTTATCGATATTACCCGTATTTTTATGATGTTTATTATGAGTAATCTACATTAAAATATAAATTAAACATAATAGTAAGAATAAAAATATTTTCTATTGCCTTCCAGGTATAATATGGTGTCAATATCCAAGTGTGTAAGATCGTGCCTAAATAGAATTTCAGCTGTCTTATTGATAACTTGAATTAAATTCTTACATACCAACAATATCATTTAACAATGGATACATACTAAAGCTAGAATGTCCACAATCATGTCCAAGAACAAAAAGTGATGTATAAAGAGTACCTATGAATAAATTGAATACGAGTAGAATCTTTTTTTTCCAAATACAATAATACAAACCTTGTACACACCAATAAATAGGAAAAAGTAAAAAACCATATTGGAATCTGCTTTGTATTTGATACATCACAATAAATGCCAACACAACATAAATAACATCTTTTACCACATAGCTCATCGATTCACGAACTGTTGGACGAAAACAATGAGCTGGTACTTTAACTTTAATCTCAGATAATGTTGGTAGTCGATGAGGTGGTGCTGATAATGATGCTAAATCTGCTTGTTGGTCATCTGTATTTCCAATACGTGTATTATGTCCACCTTTTCCCATATTTACTTTTTGTTAGCAACTGATCTTAAACACAGAAAAGGACAAAATGAATAAATTTTTCTACTTATCACAAGAAGTCACGCGAGGCTCAGTGCACTGAAAAAAATGCACTCTTATTTTAAAAATTCAGGCCAATATAAAGGTCAATGATGATTCAGAACGGTGCAATAAAAAAGTGTGGAGAGTTTTTCTGCAGTAATACATTCTTGAGCATTACGTGCATCACTAAAAAAGTGACCTTGCTCTATACAAGTGAAAGCATCAATCAGCACTGATCTATAGCAATACATAGATGTCGCTTCAAAAGCATTCATTTTTCACTTTTATGAGCATGCGGTGTCGACGTGAAACGATATGCACGATACTTATTTCGATTTGATGCATTTTGGTTTTTGTGTGGTCGTTAAAAGGTTATATTTTCCTGCTTTATCATTCAGTAGAACACGTAGCACTGACTAAACATGGCACCTAATGGAAAAGATCCTAAAAAAAGTGAATATAGCTTTAGGAAAAAAGATTAATTAAAAAAAATTGTTTTTTTCATTTCAGCCACACAATTTTCACATACGAATCATGATGAGATTTTAGCTGTTTTTAATCGCTACGCTCGTCATGAACATCTCGGTCAACGTTATATGACACCAACTGAATTTTTACAAGATTATTTAGGTTATTTAAAAGGTGATAATATTGACCCAACAACACTAAACATACTTGGATCATTGGTTGATTTAAATAAAAATCATAGTTTGTTCTTTAAAAAAAAATCAAAGAAAAATACATCTATTATTTTTTTCTCTTCAATAGGAATAACGATAGACGAATTCACTAATTTTGAATCATTACTAGTAGCCTCCGATTCATTATATCGTCTTGCTTTTCAATTATTCGATCGTCGTGGTCAAGGTTTTATTACCTTTGACGATTTTCAATATGTAATATCAGCAACAAAGCAATTTAAAGAATTTCCATTTAATTTTGATTCGGACTTTGTTCGAATGCATTTTGGTGAAAAACGACAACGACAAATAACATATAAAGAATTTACACAAATACTATTGGGTAATCATAAACAGTATAATAATTTGTTTTTGCTTTTTTAAATATATTACCTTTTTTTTTCGTTTTAAAGATTTTATTGACGAACAAACAATTCAAACATTTTGTAAACTTGATAACACAAATCTTGGTTATATATCATTGAAAAATTTTGAAATTATACTTAAAGAATTACGACAGTATCAATTATCTGAATTTATATCGACACATCTACAAGATATTGTGAAATTATCATCATCAGCGACATTACCAAATCAAATATCGTATCCATATTTTACGGCTTTTCTACAATTATTATCAAATATTGAATCTATGAGAAAAATTTATTTAGCTGTATGTGAAAAAAAAGCAAGTACATTTTCATCATCAACTATAACAAAAGAAGAATTTTTAACTGAAGCTCAACATTTTCCACATACAACTCCATTACAAATAGATATTTTATTTGCTATTACAAATCAACTACATCAGAATAGTGTCGGTAAAGAAGTCAAAAGTGAATATATTGAATTTAATGATTTTGATACAATATCGGCAAAAGAACATTTATTACCATATCGATTACGATCAGAGATTGTTGATGAACATTATAAAATTGAACATCAAACTATTGTTATGAAAATTTTTGAAAGTGGTTATCGATTCGGATTGGGTAATAGAAAAAGAATTTCTTATCATATAGTTTTGTAATAAATAAGAACTTATTTAGGTAGTATTGCCGGTGCTGTTGGTGCTACAGCTGTTTATCCTATTGATCTTGGTATGAATTTTTGTTAATAGCAAAAAATACATTGATTGCGTATTTTTTCCTTTAGTAAAAACTCGCATGCAAAATCAACGAACTACAAGCATTGTTGGTGAACGTCTCTATCGAAATTCTATTGACTGTTTTAAAAAAGTTATTCGACATGAAGGTGTTTTTGGTTTATATCGAGGTAAAAAACAATGAAATGAATTCAATTTGAAAACAAATTCAAAATAGAATAAATCATTCAATGTAGGTTTAATTCCTCAATTGGTTGGTGTTGCACCGGAAAAGGCTATTAAATTAACTGTAAATGATTTTGTTCGTGATCGATTAACATTAGCTGATGGTACTATTCCACTTTGGGCTGAAATTATGGCTGGTGGATTAGCTGGTGCATCCCAAGTATTAAGATTTATTTAGAAGTTATTGTTTTTATTTATATTGTAAATTAGGTAACATTTACGAATCCATTAGAAATAGTAAAAATTCGTTTACAAGTTGCTGGTGAAATTCAATCTGTTCGTCGTCCTGCTGCTAGTGAAGTTGTACGTGAACTTGGCATTCGTGGTTTATATAAAGGTGCTCGTGCTTGTTTTCTTCGTGATATTCCATTTTCAGCTATTTATTTTCCTGCTTATGCTCATATGAAAAAACGTTTTGCTAATGAACATGGTTATAATGATCCAAAGAGTTTATTTTTTTCTGGTCTTCTTGCTGGTATACCAGCAGCTGGTCTTTGCACACCAGCTGATGTTGTTAAAACACGTTTACAAGTGCAAGCTAGAAAAGGACAAACAAAATATAATGGTTTAACAGACGCTTTTAAAAAAATCTATATCGAAGAAGGATGGACAGCTTTTTGGAAAGGTAATAATAATAATCAATACTTTCACTTTTGATTTACATATAAAATCTAGGTGCTGGTGCACGTATGCTTCGTTCATCACCACAATTTGGTGTTACTTTGCTTACTTATGAACTTCTTCAACGTTCGTTTAATGTTGATTTTCAAGGTAGAAAATTAGAAGGATCGAAGAATGTCGATCAAGCACAATATTCGCCGAAATCACGTGCATCTATTATACTTTCAAGTAATCCCGATCATGTTGGTGGATTTCATTTAGCTCAAGCAACATTTGAAGGTTTATAATTTATTTTATTTTTGTTAAAGTATTGACAGGTGACCTATTTTTTCATTTTCCAGGTATTGAAACACGCTTTGGTTTGGCTTTTCCAAAATATAAAAATGCAACATCGAATGAACCATCACCGTCAGTTCCTTCATTAACTAAATTACTAGGGGTTACTTCACAAGTTAATACATAAAATTGAAAAGACAAGAACGCTAGTTTTCTGATTGCTGACGAAATTGAGATATAAGTTAGATTAGATTGTAATTGTTTTTGTTTTTGTTTTTGTTTTGAATTACTTTAAACATGGTAGATACGTTGTTGGCAACGTTTCTACTTATGATTTTTTGTTTGTTCTTTTTTTTCTGCACTTATTTAAATGGGTTGGTTATTTTTTATTGTGCACGGAGAATGAGCGAACCATACTATTTGCTAAATCAAAAGGAAAAAATCGCAAGTTATGATTCCATATATATATTACTTAGTTATTTTTATGAATTCATCTTGTTTTCTAACAATTAACTACCATGCCCGATATTCACTTGTCAAGATATAGCACTGTCATGTGTCTCAGTCATTATTTCATAAGAAAAACAAAATCAATCATGCATCAAAGAATGCACCTGTCGTGGTTATGCACTCAAATATGCTTTTCATTTTCGAAGAGTAGAAAGATCGACAAGTACATATAGCTTGCCTTACGGGGTTGTCTGGAAAAGAGATCGTAAGGAAACAATGAAATTTTAACAGCAGGTAAATGTTGATGACCTAGAGAAACACTTGTCATTCATTATAAATTCTTGAATGTGACTTTTCATACGATACTAAACTCTACATGGTGAAAAAAGATCTCTATCGTCATTTGTGTGTTTTTTTTTCACACTAGGTTCGATTGAATTGAATATTACTTGTACTGAGTTCCTTTGATGTTTTCGCCATTCAAATGAAAATTTCGATTTGAGAAAAACAAAACTCATTGTATATATTTGGTTGCTTTAAGAATTTTTTAAATATTTATATAAAATTATTGAATCTCATCATACAGTCAATAGATGAGTCCTATACTTAAGACGAAAACAAAAAAGTTGACTCTTGATAAGAAATATTCTTATAGAAAAAAAAACACAATCAACTAGTGGTTTTCTGTTTTACAAGAAAAACATGTTGTTGACTTTTTGTAACAGCTGCTTTGATAAAAAAAATCACATGTGTCTATTGCATAATTATTGTTTTATTCAACAATAAATGTGACATCATTCTCAGTGCACGTTAAATTGTTGGAAATAATTTTAGATGTCAATGAATTCCATTTTATTTATAGATATTTCGTTTTCAAAAACTTGAGTCATGCCTATAAAGTTTTACGATGTATAAAACTACTCGTAAATATACTGTCGCTCATCATTTTTCTTCCTAATATCATTTATATATGTCAAGGTATAGTCATAGAGGGTAGACGAATTTCTAGTCTAGTGCTTTTTTTGACTTATACTTGTTCTAGAAAAAAATTGAAATCTGACTTTTACATGTATGAGTAGAATTGCTGATTCTACAACATATAATTCTTATTCTTTGAATTAGTCAGTATTTGAACTAGAAGATATCTAAAAAAGACGAAATTTATATTAACGTGAGATCGTCATATGAATATAGATTATCATTTTGCCCTATTTGAATATTGATACACAGCTAGTACGTATATATATATATATGAAGTTATCTGATGAAATATTATTAAGATATAATTGTATGTATAACTACAGTAATAAGTAGAAGAACTATTCATGATAAAAGAATACTCGTATGTATGGACATAAAATTCAACATTTTCTTAGAGGAATCAAAATAATAACTAATTAGACTAACTCTATTCTAATTTTTCATCTATATTAAAAGGATGAAGTGGTTGAAAATATTGATATTTTATTGTCAAGATGTAACTGGTTCATTGTGTGATACCTGAGATAGTAAATACATGAGAAAAAATACAGAACGAATCCTATTAAAATATTTTTCACTGTGAAATTAAATAGGTATTAGCCGTCTCCAATTCATTGTATTCGTAGCTCTCCAGCATTGCTGTTTACGTAGATAAATATCTCTTTTGCTTTGATGCCTTGATTTCTTTAATATTAAACGACGCCAGTAAGCATGACGTAATTTTTCAAATTGATACGTGTTAAGTTTTGATAATTTCTGTTTTGATAGTTCATTTAACTTTTCATATAGAAATGATTCATTTAATTCTTGATAATCATTTATTATAACCACTGGCAAATTTTCATAGAGAACATTTAATGAACTATTCCATACAATTGGTATAATGTCAAGATAAAGTGCTTCCCATGTTCGATGACAATCAAGACCATTACCTCGTGGTGATAACCAAAATGGATACTGACGATTGCGTTCGTATATTTTAGGTAGATCGTCTATTTGAACACCACCTTCTTTTGTGAAACATTTTACAAATGTATAATTCAGGCGATATTTTTTCAAACATAATTTTTTCCAGATACGTGAACGAAAACCAGTTCTATCAGTGCCTGGGTCAAAATTAATCAATACCAAGTTCTTATTTTCTACCTTTGTAGATTGTACACGATTTGATACATCTTTTGGTTGAATATAACTTGATGGTTCATCCAAATCATTGAATACAGAAGGCACTATATCAAGTCTTTGTTTAGAATATATTTTTTCAATAGCATCGGCCATTTCAAAGCAATTAATACCTAAATAAAAAACAAATCATCCATGAAAATCCACACACATCGATTGGCACAATAAGAGATCTATAAAGCTAGTTTTGCTACATTTTATGAGCATGAATAAATTATTATAGCCATAAACCTCTATGAAGTAACAATTTAGAATATAAAACTCATTATTTTTGTGAAATAAAAGCTTCAATTATCAATAGGTTGTTCGATTTCACGTTATTCATACGATTAAACTTTCCTATCTTAGGAAGAAAGGCATAATAGTAAAACCAGCAAATTACCAATTGGTATATGAGTAAATTTTTTACTTTTCGATACATCATATTGCCCATTTTGTCCAAACCAATGAATTATTTTTGAATCAAAGCTTTCAAGATATTCCATATGAACCGGTGATGACATATCACCTTCACCAGTAACTAATACAAATTTATTTTGTAAATATGGATAAACAAATTCGAAGAATTCATTTATAACCCATATGCGAACATAGATAATACTACCCGGTAGCAAACAGGGAGCAATAATTTTTCCTTGATCAGTTGTTTTTTCTATATGCTCACCAAATTGATCAGGCCAACCATAAACCCAATCAGCTAGATTGCGAAAATTTTGTGGACAAACAAAGTTTGGATAATGTCGAATAGGATACAATGAATCGAATTCAAGCGACTCATTAGTCAATATACTTGAGTGACGACATAATTCTGAACAGTTCTGTAATCGTGATGGATTGAATAGTAGTATTTTATAAATAATATTTGAAATAAGAAAAATAAATACAAAAAGGATAATGATATAGTATAGACGATTTGATCGTGCTTTTATTTTACGACAAGAAAACATTACGTATTTAATATTTTATGAAACACGATAATTGTTTTTAATGAGATAATCTTTAAATACAAAAAGAAAGTAAATCTTTTAGTTTCAAGAATAATTAGTTGAACGGAACCGAAGAAGATTGTTAGCATGTTACTTCATAATTATCAAAACGAGAGTAAATGATATATATCCTCATTAAACACATCTAATCAATAATGAATACTATGTATTAAAAAACATGTCTTCTATATACACGTACTAGCGAAATAGGTTATGACTCACACGCTTGATACTCTTATTAAATTTTTGTTGATTTTTACTCTTACTTAATATGACAGATCAAAGGTAAGATCCGATTGTTCTAATAATTATCGTTAGTTTGAAATACCCATTATGATTTTAAAACAATTCGATTACGTACCACAGAAAACTCACAGCACCCGGAGGTAAAACATAGTAAAATTGCTTATAAAAACTTGTTTAATAAACGGTTCAATGCGCATGCGACACATTTGTCACGAACGACGATTGAAAGCGAAAAAAAAATATTAAAACAAGACGTACATCGTCACTTTTTTTCTTTTCTTTTCTTTTCTTTCAATCGTTCTCTTATATTGGTTCTCATAGAAACACACTGTAAACAACAGAGTAGAATAATGAACCCTTATTGTCCTTCCTACAAATCATGCTAAATCCTTGAAGGGTATATGAAAAAGATATGATATAAGGAAAAAAATGGTTTAGTGAGCTGAGATTTAAGGCCCCCCCCCTCAGAATCGACTTGCCACTTTGGAGTATAGGTTTGGGCTGAAACTTTCAGGAATGAATGGGCCTAGCGAGAAACGCTTGTGGTAAACGTTTCAGCCTTGTATACCTAACTAAACTAGACTTATGACTTGTTTTATAGCTTCCATGAGAATTGCTATAACTTCATGACTATGAGAGTTATCGAGGTCGAGTCGGTTATAAATTAAAGGTAGCCTCTATACGCCACTTTTCATCACACAGAATTTTGAAATTTCCTTCTGTTCATTTTTTATAAGCATTTTACTCGGTATGACTGCCAAAGTAGGTATAAAAAAAGCACTAAATCGGACTTTT